ATGCTCCAGCCTTCTGGGCGGCCTCCCCTGGGGCCTTCATGGTTCACAAAATGCACCTGAATGTCTCGGGTCTCTCTCAGTTTAAGGCTGGGTATGCCCCCCCCGCCCCCCGCTTTTTTTTAAAAAGTCCCCAGCAGGTATTTGTTTTTTCTTTTCAACATCCTGTTCTGCAGCTTGTCTCGGCTCTCCACATGCTGAAGAGCCAGGTCGTGGCACAGGCCGTGCGGAGACTAGCAAAGGCTTTGAGGTTCTCCTCCTCGGTGATGATTTAGGCTTTCTCCTTCCCGTAGCCGTTCCTGATGGGCATAACTGGTCCTGTCAACCTGGTGGCCAATTTCAGTTCTTCTGCTGAACCGTCTCCCTTTCTGGGGGCCAAGGCTTCCTGGGGAGAGGACGCGTTTGGTCCCGCGCACCTTCCTGGGGAGAGGACGCGTTTGGTCCCGCGCACCTTCCTGGGGAGAGGACGCGTTTGGTCCCGTGCCCCTTTAGCTGCTGTACATTGGCCTGCGGGACTCAGTGGACTTGTTCTGCCGTGTTGGATCCACAGAGATGCCAACGGTTTGGCCCAGCTTCTTGTGAATGCCGGCTACCCTTAGCTCCTCCAGGCTTCAGACCCTGCCTAGTTTGGTGTGATGCGTTAGCATGAGGCACCTTACTGTGGGCTGGGTGGGCCCAGGCGCCGGGGTCGGGGTGATGGGATCTTTGGTTGGCTGATTGAACCACGTGGCTGTGTGCCGCTGCCAGCCCTTGTGAGAGAGGGGTTTGAACTTCATGCCATTCCAGCTGGGGCCTCTGGCTGCCCACAGCCCTCTGCACAGGAAAGCAGCCTTCCCATCATTGAAAGTGGGTGGATCAGATCCACTGTTTATTTAAACACAGTTTAATGTTGTTTTCTATATTAGCTATATGTTTGCTTTTCTTATTTATCACATAAATACAGTCCTAAAGGAATAATAACTACAGATGGAGAGGAAACGTATTTTTAATGTTATAACCTATTTTTAATTATCACATCATAACCCTTTACCCCTTAATACGTAAGTGTGCATTTTCTTAAGAGCATTCTTCTACATCGAAATCAGGAAATTAACATTTATCCAATAATAACCTTGTTAATGTTATCACAAAAACATTCATGAGTAGGAACCCCAAATATTTACACACTAATGCAAATGACTGTAGAAAATAAAACTTGCATTTTCTGAATATCATGTGTTAATAAGGGGAATAGTTTTCTCCCAACAGGTGACCGAGAATATTTTCATAAGCTTAAAATGCACTTATCTGACTTGATGGAGAAACAAATTACAATCTCCCTCTAGAATTTCACAGACAGCGGTGTCTGGACCTGGCATCTCGTGAGGGCTGGTCATAGGTGTCTCTTCCTGCTGTGGTCTGAATGTGTCCCTCTCCACCACGCCCCACACACATGTTGAAATCCCAACACCCAGTGCAATGGAGTAGGAGGTGGGACTTGTGGGAGGGGATTAGGTCATGAGGGTGGAGCCCTTACGATGGGATTAATGCACTTACCAAAACAGATCTGTCAGGGGCTGGGTGGCTCACGCCTGTAATCCCAGTCCTTTGGGAGGCCGAGGCGGGCAGATCATGAGGTCAAGAGATCGAGACCACCCTGGCCAACATGGTGAAACCCTGTCTCTACTAAAAATACAAAAATTAGCTGGGTGTGGTGGTGGGTGCCTGTAGTCCCAGCTACTCTGGAGGCTGAGGCAGGAGAATCACTCGAACCCAGGAGGTGGAAGTTGCTGTGAGCTGAGATCACGCCACTGCACTCCAGCCTGGCGATAGAGTGAGACTGTGTCTCAAAAACAAAACAAAACAAAACAAAAAACCAAAAAAGAACCAGACCCTGGTGGGGGTGGGGTGAGGTGGCTCATGCCTGTAATCTCAGCACTTTGGGAGGCTGAGGTAGGTGGATCACTTGAGGCCAGGAGTTCAAGACCAGCCTGGGCAACATAGCAAGACCCTGTCTCAATTTAAAATCAAAAATGTAAACGGACCCTGGAGAACTCTCTTGGTCTCTGCCTTGTGAGGATACAAAACAAAGTCAGCAGTTTGCAACCAAGAAAAGAACCCTCGCCAACCCTGACTGTGCTGGCACCCTGATCCTGGACTTCCAGCCTCCAAAACTGTGAGAAATACATTTCTGTTGTTTACAAGCCACTCAGTGTATGGCATTTTGTTACAGCAGCCAGAGCTGACTAAGGCACTTCCCAAGTCTGCCCTCAGTGGTGTCACATCTTCAGCTTGAAGTCAATCATAGTGGGAGTGCTTGCACCAGGGAAATCGGCTCAATATATTTTTTTTTTCAGAAAGCCAGTTATTAAACATTTATCAGACACCACTGCATTTCTTTATCATTCTCTCTCTCTGTTTATATTACTATATGTTTTAATGAGCCATTTGAAAATAAGGTACAAACATCATAATCCTTTACCCCTTAATACGTAAGTGTACATTTTCTTAAGAGCATTCTTTTACATCAAAATCGGGAAATTAACATTTATCCAATATTATTTAATCCACATACCTCTTTCAAAATGCCCTTTTTTCCCCCAATAATCTCCCTCTCTTTCTTTCTAGAATCAAGCAATCATTCCACCTCAGCCTCCGAAAGTGCTGGGATTACAGGCCTGAGCCAACTTGTCTGGCCCAGTGATGTTTTTTATAGATCCAGGATCCCATCCCGGGTCACCAATTGCATTTAGTTCTCCTGTTTCCTTTAGTGTGAAGCAGTTCCTTAGTGTTGTCCTGTCTTTCAGGACCTTGACATTTTTGAAGAGTACTCGTCAGTTTGTCTAATATTTCCTCCTGATTTACGCGTTTTTGGGTGCAGGAATACCTCAAAAGTGATGCCGTTTGTATTCTCCACTGCATTGTATCAGGAAGAATGTGATGTAAACTGTTTTCCCATCTGGTGATGTTAACTTCTGTCATTTGGCTAAGGTGGTGTCTGCCAGCCTTCTCCACTGTAAAGTTAATTGGTACGTGTTTTGTACTTATGAGTTAAGAAGTAATATTTTGAGACTCCTATTGTAGGGCAGAGCTTTCTCTTCTCTCCATGAATTTGTTTGTGTATGTATGTATGTGTATCAGTGGGGAAATACTTATGGATTCCTATTTTATTCAGGGGTTCAAAATCCATACTGACGTCGAAATCCATTTGACTTGGCTCTTCTGTCCAATCTACTTTATTATTTTCTGTTGTAGGATATTGTAGGCTCTTCTTGTATTTTCCCTGCCCTAGCCTTGGACTCAACCATTTCTCCAAGGAGACTTCATTCCTTTTGCTGAAAATAGTACTAAAAACTAAGTTCTGGGTCTAGGTGTGCCCATTGGTACTGGGGTGTTGTTGTTGCTAAGCCTTCAAACAAGACAGAGCTGGGAACGAGCTGCATGCACACACATCTATGTATCTGTCCACGTGTGTGCGTGCATTCCATCTCTCTACATACAGTAAAGCCCACGCGTTCACATTGATACCTCTCATTCCAGTCCACCTTAGACTTACTCTCACCCTCTGCTTTCCCCTTTCTGCATTTCCGTATTTCCCTTCACTGATACAGAAACCTGACTCTCAGCACACTTCGTGAATTTTTTTATTTGCACACCCCCCTCTGATGTGTAACCAAACTCCTGGGCCTGTGGGGTGAAAGCTCATCCCCAGAGGTGTCCCTGCCCCATCCATTCCCATCCCGGTGCTGAAGGCCCTGGTGGAAATCTCAGTCCCCATGAAGAGGAAAAGAAAAGGAGAGGGAAATAGGGAAGGAGGAGGAAAGACCAGTTAGAAAGCTTGGCTGCGACTAGTCTCCCTTCCTCATTCTCCTTCTCAAGCAAGATGGGCAAGGAAAGCTCTGCCTGGAATAAGGGCAAGGGGAGGAGAGCATTACTCCTCTGAATTTTACTCTGAAACAATGCCCTAGGAGATCGTCCAGCAGTTTCATTATAGTTCCTTTCAAATGAATGATTTTGAAGATGAATATTAAAAAAAAAACACAGCTTCTTCCCCTTTATTACAGAACTGATACATATACATTATTGAATGTTAAAAAATACAAAGAAGACATTTAAAAAATACAATTACCAACCATTTTCCCATCCAAAGGTAATCACTAAGCTTTTTGGTGTATCCTTCTCCCCGCCACCCAACTCTTTTAGTTTGCAAAATTTCAACCCCACAGCAAAGCTGCATTGATAGTACAATGAATATCTGTCGACTAGTCACCTAGATTCACCAAGTGTTGTCATTTTGCTACATTTGACTTGTCTCTTTCTTTATATTAATATGTTTTATATTTTTCCACTTAGTCACTGGAAATTCAGTGGCAGACACTGTGGTAATTTTTATCTAAAAACTTCGTATGTTTGCTAAGAACAAGAATACTCTCCTACATAGCCACAGTACAAATGCCTCACCCTGAAAATGAAGCCGGGCACAGTGGCCCATGCCTGTACACCCAGCATTTGGGGAGGCCCAGGTGGGAGGATTGCTTGAGTGAGGAGTTTGAGACCAGCCTGGGTAACAAAGTGAGACCCCGTCTCCATAACAAATTTAAAATTAGCTGGGCATGGTGTTGTGTGCGGAGGTGGGAGGATCACTTGGGCCCAGGAGGTTGAGGCTGCATCCCGGCCTGGCGGACAGAGAGACTATCTTGGGGGTAGGGGGTGTAGAACACTTCTCCAGTGATATCTTGTTCATGTTTCATTTTCCCCAATTGTCAAACTAATGATGTCCTTGGTGCCATCATTGATGGTGTTAAATTTAATCACTGGGATGATCTGGTAGACGTCTCCATTGTAAAGTAAATTTCCATTTGTAAATTTCCCCTTTCATATTTATAAGTAGTGTATAAGGTCACTGCTTTGAGACTGAAAATACCCTGTTCTCCAAAAGACTCTCACCAATAATTAGACTTCACCTCTAAAAGAAACCTTCCTGTTTCTTCTTTTTAAAAAGAAATTTGAGTATCAGCATGAACTCATGGATTATGTTTTTATTCAGTGTGTTATCATCTCTCCTGTCATTATTCATCCTGATATTCAAATTGTCCCACAATTGGTCAGTGAGGTCCCTTCAGCCTGGCTCCTCTACCCTTTTGCCATGTTTCCGTCACGTTTTGAGCGCTTATTTTACTTTACCACACACAATGCTCCAGGCTCACCTTGAAATTTTTGCCCCAGCCCCAGAAGCAGCTGTTTCTTCAACTTCATTTTAATGGGAAATGCTATTTAAAACTAGGATCTGAGCCTTACTTAGGTGAACTCGTTGCTTACGAAGTGTCATTGCGTCTCGACTTTTTTAGAGCTAGCAAACGTATACAAAAAATATAAAACGATACAAATTAACTGATCCCTCTAATGCAGTCACCAAAGCTTTCTCCGTCTTTCTTCCACGCTGGCTTCTTTCCCACCGCCCACCGCAGGCAACCCCGGCTCTCAGCGACTTGGATGTCTTTGTGCTCATTCGCTCAGTCCCACAATCCACATATGAGTTTTGGACGTGTCTCCTTTCCTTGAAGAAAATCGCATTACACATACGCATCTACGTAGGCAAAGGTCCCCCTCTTTGTCCCCCTGGCTGACATTGTGGCTGGTGCACCTGCTCACTTCAGACGGAGCAGGAGAGCAAAGCGCGGGCCTGGGATCCTGCGGCCACGAGGGCGCCTCACCACCAGTCCGGCGCGGGGTCCGTCGGCTCATAGGGCTGCAGCCACGTGTCACTGTCGTTCTCTTCGGGGACGCGCGTCCCTCGAACCCGCAGCGGGCAGATGGTCAGGGGATCCGGACGTTCGCCGCCGTCGTGGGCCCGGGGCCTGAAGTAGGCACACAGCGCGCTCGAGAAGGTGTCGTGGAAGGTGAAGATGTGGGAGCCGTCGGACACGTTGAAGAAGGACAGCTGTCCCGCCTCGCAGTCCAGGAAGATGCCCAGGCGCCGCGGAGGCACGCGCAGGGGGAGCGCCACGCGGTGCGGGGCCAGGACGAAGTACTCGCAGCCGTTCCACAGCCCCAGCACCCAGTAGCCGGTCGCCGGGCTCAGGCGCACGGGCCCCGCGCGCGGCACCGCGGCCAGGCAGGCGCCCAGGAACCAGCGGCTGCGGCGGCCCACGTGCACCTCCCAGTAGTGGCGGCCCGCGGAGAACCGCTCCAGGCTCAGCGCGCACGTCTGCTCCGAGAACCGCTGCGGGTCGCTCGGCGCGGGGCCTGGCGGCGCCCGGCGGGAAGACACGCTCTTGCCATCCTCGGACACTTCCAGGCTGGGGTGCGCGGAGGCCGCATCCAGAGTCACGTCCACTGCGCAGAGCCCAGCGTTAGTGCGCGCCCAGGACGGTCTGGGCCGGTCCGTCTCTTCCCCGAGACGGACAAACCTCTAGTTTCTCTTGGTGGAATAATCAGGGAAATGAACCCCTTACTCCGACCCTCGCCCCTGCAAACCCCCTCCCCGGGACTGAAGTGACTCCTGCGTGTTTGATTGTGACAAGGAATCCTGCCCTTGCTTGAACTCCATACCAGAGAAAGCAAGGAAGCAGGCTGGCGGGAAGGGAGCCACGTCCCGGTCAAGGGGAAGGACCTATGGGTGGGTTCTAGTTCCTGCTGGTGGCACTACCCCGTGTGACCTTGACATAATCAGGAGAGCACTGAGCGTCATTTTACAGAAGTTTTTGGATTTTTTTTTTTTTTACATCCAGTCCTTCAGAAAGTTTTAAAAAGGATTTTAAAAGGACCTTTGAGATCATCTATCCAGTGCCCCACATTTCAGCACCCTATCCCATCTGACAGATGGGAACCTAGGGGACCCCTTCTGTCAGAGGATCCGAGAGGTTCCTTATAAACTCTGCACTCTCGCCTGCAAATAGCCCCGAGCCAGATGGAAACAAACGTAGTGTAACCCCGAGGAGCGATGTGTTTGGGAGCTCACGTGTGTGTGTGTGCACGTGCGTGTGCATGGAACCACCCGTGTGCCCGTGTGTGTGTGTGTGCACGCGTGTGCATGGAACCACCCGTGTGTGTGTGTGTGCACGCGTGTGCATGGAACCACCCGTGTGTGTGTGTGTGCGTGTGCATGGAACCACCCGTGTGTGTGTGCGTGTGTGTGCATGGAACCACCCGTGTGTGTGTGTGTGTGCACGCGTGTGCATGGAACCACCCGTGTGTGTGTGTGTGTGTGCGCGCGTATGGAACCACCCGTGTGTGTGTGCGTGTGCGTGTGTGTGCATGGAACCACCCGTGTGTGTGTGTGCGTGTGTGTGTGTGTGCACGTGCGTGTGCATGGAACCACCCGTGTGTGCATACACATGCAGGCATATGTGTCATGTGGCGTGTTTGCAAGTGTGCGTCTGTGTCTGTGTGTGCCGGCCCCATACTTGGCTCCCAGAAAGCCCCGACCTCTAATCTCAGATCTCCCCACCTCCCTTCTGTTGAAGATCCAGCCAACCCAAAACACAAATCAGTTTCCTGGCTTCAGTTACCTGCATATTTTTGGGCTGCTCTCCACTCTGAAACCAAACAGAGAAGGAGAAAAAAAGGTCAGAAATCTCAGTCAGTAACTCTGGAACCTTCGCAAAGGCTCCAGATGCATGAGGGATGCATGCAGCGAGAATGACCCCATTCCCACCATGACAGTGGGTTTGAATTCAGACTGGTCTTGGGGTTCACCATGTGTTTTCTTGAGAAATTTTAGATCCAGTAGAGGCCTGTGTCATTGATACCAGAGCTACATGCAGGCTGAAATTCTGCTGAAAAAAGCAGGAGAATGGAGCATGTAGGTGAAGAGACTCTATAGGCAGCCTGGATGCCCTGAGACACAGACGTGGAGCCTTAGACTCTGACTGGCCAGGCTGTGCCCAGGAGGACCAGCTGAGCCTGACAGATCCTGAAGATGCCCTCCAGATGTCCTGTCTTTTCGTGACATGCCTCCATTCTTAATGTGAATCAATCTGAGTGGATTTCTGTTGTGTTTTATCTTGTTTTGTTTTGCAACAAAGATATCACCAAGTCACAAAAGCAAAAGCAACACAAGACATTCTCAGAGTTCCAGATATTTACAGCAAGGCTTTGTTGCCCCAGTTTTGTGTCAGGATAACTGGTGAAGCTTTAAACACAATAGCTCTTGTGTGGGATATCTCAATTCTACAAAGATGTTGATTTTCCCTAAGTTTATCTGTAAGTTCAAAGCAATCCCATGTAAAACTCCTTTTTGGATTTTTTGGGGAGATTTATGAATTTATCCTAAAGTTTATATTTTAAAAAGGTTCATTCACTTTAAAAAAGGAATTGGAAATGGAGAAGGAAAACTTGTACTTCCAGATACTACAAAAGCCATAGCAGTAAAAACAATGATGTAACAGGTGGCCACTGGACAAACTCATATAGAGACAGGGATCCAATGTGCATCAAAGGTGGTTCCCCACATCAGTGGCAACCCTGGAACGGTGGAGTAAATGGCGTTGGTAAGCCCAACTCACTATGTGGAGAAAAATCACAGGATTCTCACCCAACACCTCATAAAATGGCAAATTTTAGATGGATTAAAGATGCAAATATAAAGATAGTAGAAAGGTTTTTGTAGTTACATAAAGAAAAAGAAATAGGAGAAAGTGTAAGAGAATATCTTTGTGACCTAAGTGTGAGGAAGGTTTTCTTCAATGAAACTTCAAAAACACAAACCATAAGGTAGGTAAAAAGGTGATGGATTACGTTTTATCAAAATTAATAATTCCTTTTCAGTAAGGGGAACTATGGACACAGCTAATGGCAGGTGGCACAACAGAAGAAGGAATTCACAATGTTTACCCATGAAGGATTAATCTCTCTCTCTCTCTCTCTCTCTCTCACACACACACACACACACACACACAGAGACATATAATATTCCTGTTAATAATAAAAGACAGCAATCCCAAAAGAAAAATGGGTCAATGATACGAACTGGCAGTTTTCAGTAGAGGAAGCTCC